CTTTATATAAAACAGCCTAATTCTGAATTACTGAAGTAAAAAATGAAAGTGCATCGGTATATTGAGGCCACAATGTCAGTCTTCTCCTCGTTCAGAATCTTGTTAAGACTCTGTAGAAGTAAATGACAAAATTTAAAAGATCAACTTCCTTTGCCCCTTCTTGGTTGCTGATATGTGTTAATTCGTACGAAAGATGCACAGCTTACTAAAAAGAAATACCTAGGAGTGGATATTTCACAAATAAGATTTAAAAACCTGTGCGCATTTGCCCTCGTTCCAAAAACATGACACTGCCAAACATGTATAAATCTTACAAATTTCAGAGCATAACATATCTAAATGCAAAAATAAAATGCAAATGTCTTTGCATAAGATTCCTACTGCAACAGTTTCTTTGTCACCCTTGTTTTGTTTAAAAGACAGCAGATCTCTCTTTAGAAAATGCTTTTTCTAAAGCATGAGTCCTGTTAACTTGTTTCGATAGGATTTGAGCATTTTCAAGTTGCTTTTGTACATAAGGTCTCCTGTAATTCTCCTGACAATTAGTCTTAAATGCCAGTGTTATAAAAATACTCTGAATGAGATTTAAACCACGAAGACAGTTGTGCATTGCCAGAAATCTGACAGCATGAAACTTGTTCATGAACTTACCTTACACAGGCTGTTTTTGTAATCCACATATGTATGCACACATGCATAGAGGTATGTTTTCACACACACAATATTGTCCATTAAATAGAGTACTGCAATTACATAAAGTAGACGGAGTATCTAATTATGCAATGTTAATCTTCTGGACCCCAAGGGAAAGGTGGCAAATACAGCATGTTTACTACCCCTTTTACTCACAAAGTACTGATCGGTATTAATCTGTGAACACTAAAGTCAATCATTTTTTTCTTTCATTTCCATAAACAATATGACACTACCATTTGCACGTTGTAGTGCACACAAAAGAAACAGTGAATCACGTGTGAGCTCCATGGCCTGCCTTCAAGGCCCAGTTCCAAGGAGATGGGAAACCACAGCATGAACAAACAGCTGGGGAGGACTGGCCCTGCCCAGGAGACTCAGTCCCTACAAAGGCGGGGCAGGGGGCACTTGAGGACCAGGTCTGCTGCAACCGGAGCTGTCAGGGAGCGCAGGGTGGGGACCCAGGCAGCTCTCCAGGAGAGGCAGCTGCCTGCAATACCGACCCAGGAAGCTCTCCTAACGGAAATGATGGGAAGATGTTCCTTAAATGGGACTTTTCAGAAAAACTGAAGTAAATTCTGACTTTTTACAAAATGCCATGAATGCTTATGTTACAGCTGTTAATGTCCACATATGTAAGATACTAAAAAAGATGAATAAGTTGCACAATTTGCAAAAATATATATTTCATGCTATCCTCTTAAATCTCCAGTTTAAAGTTATAAACAGCTGGAAGATACACACTAGGAAATAAGATGTGAGTTAAGAAAAACATTACTTTCTTGGAAATACGCATCTGTATTGAAAAATAGGGAAGAAAATCCTTAGGTAGGAATTTTATATAATGACGCTCCACAGAATATATAAATCAAATAATACAGTTTTTCTGAGCACAATTTTTAAATTATTTTTTAGAATTCCTAAATGTATTTTTTTACGAATATATATTTTAAAATCAAATACTATATTTGAATACAACACATAATTTGCATTGCTTATGGTTTTGCAAAATCTCATTGTGTAAGCCCTAGAAGAATATTTTATTGTAATTTTGTATCTATTGTCATTGTTAGATTAATAATAGAAATGTCTATGCAGCCAGGTTTCTTTGAGGAAAAAGAGTGATGAGTTTATACCCATTTTCTAAGTGAACCACATTCTTTGTATTCTGGTTTATATGTATTCATTAAATTAAAATTAATGAAAGTCATAAAAAGATAATAAAGGTACATTTATTTCCTTTTTATAAGCCATTATAAGCTCAGATTCTTGTATCTTTCCCCAAAATTTTTTAGATTATATTTATTTCTGCCTAATACTCATTGAAATCCCAATGCAAATAGCTGCATATATTTATGTGCAACAATAATACACTTACCAGTAAATTACTACTTACATGGAAAATATATTTAGTGTTTCAATGTTTTAAGCACACACCTGTAGAGTAATAAATGTTACATGGCCAAGATGATGAGAATAAATTAAAGGTCTGAACAAAAGATTCATTAGTGTTCACTGGTTTTAGGATTACCATATATTTCTCTCATTTTTATAAGGCACATTTACCTGTGTACAAGTACATACAATACTATGCAAACAAAAATTGCTAAACTCAAGTGAGAACTATGACACTCTAATACATAGAATAGACAGCCATTCCAATGCCACAATACACAGAAATCTCTTTTCTACAACCTTTAAAAATGTGTCTAACAACAAAGAAAACTGTATCATAAATATATAATACTCAAAAAGACTAGTCTTTTATGAGGTTTTATGCTTTTCCTGTAGATATCTATATTGCTTAGTTATATATTTATACCATTATACAATGTACATTAAAATCCTTATTGACAAATGAGTTTCCAGCCAATTATTTTTCACTGGTTGCCATTTTAATAAGACTGAGATAAAAGTTGAATATGAACAATATAACTACAATGCTTTAAAAACTGGTTTATGAATAAGTTCTAAAATTAAGAACAGATTTAAATTAATACTGGTTATCATACATGTAATTCTGAATTTTAAAATAGATGTGTTCTAACACACGCAAGTAGAAATTATTTCTAGGAAAAAAAGCTGTACTTTTTGAAAACTACATTTTAAAACACAAAAATAACATATACACAATAGGATATGAAAATGATGTGTTTTCTATTTACACCAAAACCAATATGCATTAGGTGGTTGCTATCATATTACATACTTGTGTCACACTTTATTGAGACAACTATTTCCAAGGGAAATATACAATGGAGAGAAAGAGCTGTTATCAAAATTCCTTTGTCTAAAAAACTACTACAGATTTTAGTGTTTGTTCTTAGAATAGTTTAACTGTTTTAATCCAAAATATGCTCTATTAAAATTTTTGTTAAAGAGTAGAAATTCAAAATAACTCTTTAGAATGACGTATTATTTATTTTTAATTATAATAAAACTTAAGCTCTCATTCTATTAACACTACTTTAAAACTGAATGGCTAATTGTAATTCATTCCAGCTTCCATTAGTGCCTAATTAATTTTATAGCGTGTTAATGGCATGTCCTTCCTCTTCTGATAATAAAACTTCTCATGATTTTTTGAAAAACAAGTTGGCAAAAATTGTTTAAATATTAATTTCCAGATACATTTATACACAAAAGCATAGTAATCTGCCTTCAATGATTGCTATAATTTTTTGCTCAGCTTTCATAAACTTGAATTTTTTCCAAAAGATTTATCTTGATAAACGAAATCTTTCCATGCAAGAAAACCAAATGGCAACACATCCTGATGAGATCAACGTCATTTTTTAATTTCATAAGACTTCTTCTGAAATCTAAAGAGAAGGACAACTGTCACCTGTCATTTCTCCCTTCCCCGGAAGATGGTCTGGCTCACTTCTCAAACGAACATCCAAAATCATCATCGTTAATGCTGCCTACAGGAGGCCGCCTCCGCTCCACCGATCTGTCCTTTGTTCACGACATAACACGTCCTACAGTTTGAAAATACCTTCTACATCCATTGCCCAAAACAAAGTCAAGTCCTTTCGCAGAAAAGAAACTGGCGTCTTCGCGCGCCCTTCTCGCCCGGCGTGGGTTTCTCCCGCCCGCAGTAAGTTTTGGACCGGACCGTGGACACCTAATTACCTGCGGTCCTCTCCTCTCCGCACAGGGGCCTCCCCGACGCGCACCATCGCGCTGGGATAACGAGGGCTGCTTCCCTGCGTGTGACGCTGCGTCCCCAGCCCGTCCCCCTGGGTCAATCCCGCTTAAGAGGACACTTTGGAAGAGGCCCAGCCGGGCACGTTAGACTGTGACTTTGAGGACAGAGCCACTGCTCATGGCACAAAGCGCCAGCGCGCACTTCAGTCCCTGACAGGCCGAGCGGCAAAGGGGCCGAAGGGCTGGAGCCCAGGAGCGCGGCGCCAGCCAGCGAGAGAGCGAGCGAGCTGCCGCGCCTCACAGGTTCTCACCTCGCCCGGCCCGAAGGGCAGCGGGCGCCGCGGACAGCAGCGGCCTCCCAGAGGCCTTTAGCCTCGCGCCGGCGGCGGGCAGGGTCTGCAGCGGTGACGGAGAATCACCGCGCAGGGGCAGGACCAGGATCGCAAGCCGCCACGGGAAGGGCGGACGCCCCTCGGGGGCACTGAAGGCGCGAACGCCCGACGCCGCCTGGGTCACAGCCCCGCCGAGGGCTCGGGCTCGGCCGCTGAGACTCGCGGCGCCCACGCCCGGGCGCCCACGGAGGCAGGGCCGACACGGCTGGCGCCCGCCGGGAAGGCCACCTCGGGCTTCGCCTCGTTACGTAAAAGGCATTAGTGACTCATCCTCCGGAGCCGACCTACTCCGAGAGCTTCCAAAGTAGCTTCAAGAAGCAGCAGACGCTTTCCCGGCCTCGCCTTACAGCGCCGTGCGCCCCGGCCCGGCTCCTCCCGGGCGCTCCCATCCGCGCGAGCAGCCAGCGCTGCCCGGTTCCGCTCGCTTCCATTTCAAAGTTGTGTGGGAAATGGAAGCAGCGCGAGGGACGCGGGAGCGGGGAGCAGGGCCGCGCTACCGGCAGGGCTGGATCCGTCCCGGAGCGGCCGGCGGCGCGGGGAGGCGCTGCCCGCGGGCTGAGGCTGGGACCCGACCAGCCGCGCCGAGCGCCCGGCCGACCCAACTTTCCTGGAGCGGGCTCGGGGCTGCAAACTTTTCCTGGAGTCAGGGGCGCCGGGCCGGGCTGGGCGGCGCGGGGAGCGATCGCCCCGGTCCTCGAGCGCCCCGACCCCTCTTGCCGCCCTGACCCCGCGCGTCCGCGCCCCGCGCCCCGCCCCAGCACTTACGTGACGGCTGAGGGGAACGGCTCCGGGGCTGAGGGCCGGATCAGCGCGCCCTGGAGCAGCGCGAGCACCACGGCCAGCAGGCGGCCCGCGCCCATAGTCTCCATCGAGGCCGAGCGGGCGGGCGGGGACCCTAGCGCCGCGGCTGCCTCGCCTCGGCCACCGGCGCCGCCATCAAGGGCGCTGGGCTCGGGACCTGGCGGGCGCCGAGGTCCGGCCCCGCTTTATCCCGCGCGGGCGGCGGCGGGCGGCGGGGGCGGCGGGGGCGGCTCCTCGCGGGGCGGGGACAGCGGCGGGCGCGGCCTCCCTTCGGCAGCGCGGCGTCGGGCGCAGTCCCGCCCCGCCCGGCCGCCGATCCACGCGAGCGTGGCCTCCCGCGCAGACTCCGCGCGGCGGGGAGGTGACAGGGGAGGGGTCGGCGTCGGGAGCGCGCTGCGCACGGGCGGGGCGGCGGGTCCCGCGGGTTGGGGCGGGCTCGCCTGCGGAGCGCAGTCTGGGGACCCGCCCGGCGCGGCGAGACGGCTGAGGGCCAGACCCGGGCGGGGCCGCGCCGTCCTCTGGGGGGAAGCGGGGCGGGCGCGGGAGAGGCGCGGCGAGCCCAGGGCAGCTCCGAGGGCCCGGTGCCCGCCCTGCCGGACCCGGGCGAGGCATCCGGGCCGAACAGGTGGCCCTGGAGGATGCGCCCAGGGTGGAGCGGGAGGCGAGAGGGAGGAGCGGGGGGCGGGAGAAAGGAGCGGCCGAGGCCCGGCCTCCCCCAGGGGCCCAGGAGCCCCAAGGCCGGCCCGGCGGGGACCTCGTGTCCGGCTGGTGGCCCGGGGACGTCGCTTCAGTACCTGCGCCTTCCGAGCCCCGCCCTGCCTCGGATGAGTCGCGGCCCGGGCCCTCAGGATTGCGGCCCGCCGGACCTGGCCGAGGAAGGGCTCGCCCCTTCGTCCCAGAGCAGCCTGTGCCGGCGAGGTCCTTCCCTGAAGCCCACCTCCCTGAGCCAGCGGAGTGCTGCCCGAGGCTGCCCGGGCCCCAGGGTGCGCGATTTGTGACTCGCTCCGGAGACCTCCCCGCCCCCTCGATCGCCCCCTTTTCTCAAGCCTTATTTGTTTCCTTTCCGTCCCCTGCGTCTCTATCTCGCTCTTTGTCCCTCTCTTTCCTCCTGGAGCGGCCTCACAAAAGGCGCCTGGCGAGACTTAACTCGGTTTGTTTTGCGCCAGGCCTGGGAGAGAGCGGGGCGAAGGCCAGGGGTGTGGACCCGAGGGGCTCTGGGACTGACGGGAGCTTCAGCGCCCAAATTAGCCAGCCAATAGTCAAATCCACCGCTTTTCAATTTTTAATGATTCAAACGCGATTTTCCTCCCCCAGCATGAGGAAGAGAAGCATGACACGTTGGTATCATAATGGGCTTGCTGCGTAAAGATAGCAGCATAATACATCTTGCCGGTGATTCCATGAAGGACTCCAGACTTCCGACTATGGAACGCAATTTTCTATTTTATATCTTTAGGAGAAAAGGCTTAAAGAATGAAAGAAGGTAAGAAACTTGAAAAGGTAACTTTCCTGGCCTTCGCACCAAATCTCCATTTCTTGGGATCGCTCTGAGGGAGCGCTGAGTTCGCCAGTGTCCGAGGCTATAGGACTCCTGCAGAAAGGGGTGGACATCAGCTGTGGGCCTAAATCATTCTCTACTGCTCTGGAGTGAGGTTTGCCATTAATTACTTATCAACCTGAACCTTTTTCGTGAGCTATTCAAATATGGTTTTTGTTTCTTTTCTACGATTATGATAGCTAAAGCAAAGTCATTCCTGCAACATTCCTTTTTTTTTTTTTTTGCTCAGTTCCATTATTGGGGGAAATTCCATAAAAATCAGATTGTATTCCATTAATTTTAATAAAACATTGCTAAATCACCAGAATTTTCCATGACTACACATCATAAGGATTGATGATAAAATTGTTGTTATGAGATGTAAAGGAGCAAGAATCACGATACCTACTGTTCATTTAAGAGAACATACTTTAATTGGAAAGTAAATTGAAGCATTGTAGGATTTTTTTAAATTTAGTTGTTTCTAGAAGAAAATTTAAAGATTTTATTCATGCGAATTTACCTACAACCAATTTATGATTGGTGACTTTTGGCTCTCAATTGCTGTTTCACATAAATGAAAGCCAAACGTGGAGACAAATGGATAGGAACCTTCCACTGCCTTATCTCCTTAGGGAAGGCTTTTAGGAGAAGGAAATAAGAAAGAGATCAGCTGAGGAATGTCAGTTTCCAGGAGAATGGTTAAGAGAATGTGGTGTGGTTGTTAAGTGAGAGTATATTTTCAGCATTTTTAAACTAAAGTGGCACATGGAGGCCTTCAGAAAAGCATGGAAAAATATCAAGAAATGTGCTCGAATAGTTCCTACAAACAAGACAACTAGGAGAAATTTTTCACTGGCCCAAGTAATACACTGTACCTATATGGCATTCAACTTTTGAAGCAAGAAATGCTTTTCTCAATGGACAAAAAGGAACATTAAATGAGTGTTTATTGAAGCTGTAGTATTTCCCCATCAGAGGCTTATATTGGCAAACTTCTACCACCTTAAGTATTTAGCCAAATTAGCTGTTACATTTTAAAATGCCGTATCTTCAACCAAGCAGTAGCTTTTGTTACTGCCCTGAATCTCTGCTAATCATATAATTTTTCACCCACTTTCTGTTTCTTGCTTTATGATCTTCTCCCATCTTCTCCCCCATAAAACACAAACATCAGGGCCTACTGCACTATTTCCAATTTAAAAAACTATATGACCCTGAAATCTAGATTCTGTAGTCAGAAAGATCCACCCTTCCCTTCATAAATACAGCTGCAGGTTTTTCTTTTTTTTTTTCTTAGACTGTAAGTTACAGCACAAAGAGTATGGAATCCATTATATAGGCCTACATAGACAAAGAGCAGTAGAAAATTTAATAATTCATCCGAATATTCACTAGCAAAAAAATGCAATGGAAAGTGGTTGGCAAAAGGTACACGGTAACAACTGAAATGACCAAAGCTAATGACAGCTGCCAGTTTCTCATTTTTCTCCCATCTCTTGGATATACAGCCTGCTGTGAGAGGGAGAGAGACGTTTACTGATCCTGTCCTCCTGGTGGTAGCTAGGTTCTTCACATTCTCTGAACACAACCGAACACCATCCCAACCTAGCATATTTTCATAAAAACGTGGATATGTTATGGGTTAGATTCACCTCTGCCTAATCTAACTCATTTCTACAGGCTGCACAGAACATGGTTGTGGACTGCCACAATTGTGTTGCTAGGATTCCTCCCTCTCTGCGATGAGCATGAGGAGAAAACCTGGAAACAAGCACATGACTCTTACTGCCATGCATTTTATACTTACATGGTTAACATGCCTAGCATTTTTACAAAAAATACATGATATTTGAAAATACAGAGAAATTGACAGTTAAAATCGTGTATTCCATTGATAGATAAGAAAAACGAGACATCAGGGTACTGTCAGTCACTTTTATCACTGATACTTTTAAATGTGGTATTTGGAAACTTTTGAAAATCAATATAGAGCAAATAATATCCGGTAGTAATATTGTATTTGAGATGTGCAAGGTGGTAGGGTCTAATTCCTAAGGGTTGCTGATAATTTGACAAAAACTTTCTATGCTATCCAAGCAGTTGAAGGATATTTTGTATACCATGTGATGCTCCATCATGCTTTGTAATAAAAGTAAGAGCATTTAAACATTACACATCTTTAAAACTAAAGACAGGAATTTGACCAAATGGCTTGTATTGTCTACAGTTGCAATTCCCATACGCTAATTTCCTTTTTTATTTTAAATTCTCAAGTCCTTAAACCTTTCACTACAGTGACCTTCTTCTTAAGCACATGGCTTTCTCCAAATGACAGTAGCTAGTGAGAAGATCTGATTCCATACATCTGTCAAGCTAGGTGAAGATGGTCCAGAGTGAAAAGCTGAGTGTTTCAGGTTGGGCTCATTAATTGCTCTAGTGTTGCTGCAAGTCTTTCTGTTACACAGATTAATGTGTTTTCTGCCACCATGTCACTCATGCTGGTGAATTTATTTTATACTGTCAGGATACTTTTAGTTTAAACCAAGCAACCAAATGTATAACTTTAAAACACTGGGGAGCAACTCCAAAATGAAGATTTTTCATGTCATTTTACAATCACATTTTAAAATCTAGCTGCCATTAGTAATGATTAGAACTTTAATGATGTCAATCCACATATAGTTAGCAGTCTTTATTGTAACAAAAGGGAGCTTGTATTTGGTTAGGATGACTGTGTATGTATTTACTCTCTTCTGTGCCTTTTTCTGCTATTACCTGAAAATTCCTTATACTCAACAGCTGATTCTTTTCAAAAGATTATTAGTGTACTTTTGTGTTTCCTGTATTTTGTATTGAATATAGTTTTTCTTTAAACTCCATTTTTCTTTCTTATAATATGTAAAAGTTTTCCCTTGCAACAACAAACTTATCAAAGATGAACTGTCTCCATACATCTGCTGACAGTACGTTGCCCACACTTCAGTGCAAGCTTTGACAATTACCCACAGCTCATCAGCCTGCAGGAAGAGGACTCTTCTGTCCAGCTCCATTTCTTCCCCAAGTTAAGCAGCCAGCCCACTCCGCCCCTTCTCCACCCCTTCTTTTGATCTTTTTCTTCCTCACTAGGCAACAGTTGAGTGCCTTCAGTGCATTACCAAAAGAGGCACCCCTTCTCTTTACTGAGAAGTAAGGAGCACAGAAAGTAGAAAAGTTAAGGAAGGCAAACACAAATTATTCAGAGGAGAAAACAAGGAAATCGTGAAAGAGGAACAGTGTGAACAAGTTTGCTCAGATGACACAGATAAGCCAAAAGCAAAGGCCAAAGAAGTAAGACACACAGCAAGCAACACTGGAACATAAAGGGGCAAAGAAGTAGGGCAACTCAGTATTCAATCAGCTAGAGTTTTTATTGCTAAACAATTGTTATACATAATTCTCCTGTCTCCCTATTTTTTCAAAATATAAATAATTATTCAAAATGATCAATTTTTCTAATTTAAATGTAGAACAAGCTGTATTGCGTTAATATTTAATTACTTTCTTAAATGTAAACAGTACACGATAGGCAAAGCATTCTATTTGGTACAACTTCCATAACCTAAGTTTGCAAATTCTGTTTGCATTTGATAAAACCTATGGGCAGCAAATCTGATCATGTGGCATTTTGGGGTTTTATTTGTTTTGGGGGGTTTTTTTTGTTGTTTTTTTGGTACTAGGGATCGAACTTGGGTCCTTTCGCTTTCAAGGTAGGCGGTGGAACCACTGAGCTAAATCCCTGGCCCCATTTTGGGGTTTTATATGAAGTAGTTAAAACACCATAATCCATTTAACACAAAATAATTAATGTACACAACAATTTTATAGTAAATCACTTATGAACTTTAATAAACCAAAATTCTTTTCATTTTCAACCTGAAGAACCACTTCTTTCTCCCTATACCTTTTCTTTCAGAAAACTTCACAAATAATAAGAAGGTGTGAATGGGCTTCAGAGTGAGAGGCAACAGTAACTTTGCTGCTTGAGGACCCTCTCACCTCTGGAAAGTGTTGAGCTCTGAACGGTGTCATGTGTCTCAGTAGCTTAGTCCTCCCTCAAATATTCAGAGTTTTTAAGGTGGTGGAGATGGAATCCAGGGCCTCACACATGCTGGCCTGAAACAAAGGATTCCCCTGCCTTACCCTGCAGAGTCCAGTGGGATTCCTGGCCTGCACCACTGTGCCTGGCTCACATATTCAAACTGCTGATTGCAGGTATCATGCTGATTCTTGAAACCATTGTAAACCCTGCCCTAACCGTGCCTAAATGTATGGACCTGACTTGGAGTTTAGAAATACCACAAACAGCTAGCTCCAAGTCATTATTGCATTCATAAAGACCAGCACTAGGATTCTTACCTCAGTGCACTGGCTCTTAACCACCACGCCCGCCGTGTGTCTGCCTCTTCACTGGTGTTTAGGAGCTCAGAGGTGCAGATCGAGTCACTCAGCTTTCCTAAGCCTCAGCTTCCAATTTTTATCAGTGAGCATAGTGCCGTGGGAATTAAAGGACATAGCTAGCTTCTTAGGTCATCTGTAATCATGCCTAGGTCAGGGATGCTACGGGACACCAGGTACTGTAAAACATACCGCCTTGCAAGGCAAAAGGCTTCTCTGATCTGTAGATGAGTTGAAACCCACTTAGAGCAGGTCATTGTAGATAAGGCTGAATAATACTTGACCTGTGAGGACAGCTGATTGGTAAGTAGCATACATTAGTGGGTCTTCTGATGCCCATATGTTCTAAGGTGGTAACACCAGTTTCCCTATTTTACAATTTGTCTACTTGTGTATGCTTTGAAAAGCCCATGATACATTAATACACCAGTGATCAGCAAAAGACAAGCACCAGGCCCTTTGCTTCCAAGGAACCCGGAGCCTGGACTGGAACCCAGAGACCTGGGCAGAGTTTGAATTGACAGCCCGGACTCCTGATGAGCAGTAATCCCCCTGCTTCTGTTTCCCCGTGGCCTCCATGCCGTGCTTTGGAAGGAGGAGAAGTCAAGCCAGAGAGACGCGACAGTGGAGAGCAAACCCTGGTGCATTCATGTCTCTGCCTGGCCCCTCTTCCTGTCATTTACTTGTCTCTCAAGGCGTTTTTGTCTGTCTCCCTGCTAGAATCTAAGTTCCAGGAGGCCAGGGATGTTTGATTGTCCTGTGCCTCGCTGTGTTCCCAAACCCCGGGCAGTGACTGGCACACACCTATCGCTCAACAAATGCTCAAAGGGGAAAAAATGTGGGGATAATTGATTTAGAAAAACGTGGGTAATAAAGAAAATGTTGTTGGAGAACAAGCCATTTCAAGTCTTGATTTACACAGGTAAATTTAACTGGAAAAAGTTACTAAAATATTTCATAGGGTTTTTCCCCAAATTATTATTTTTTATTGATATATATAGTCCATCTACCATTAAAATTAACCCATTTAAAGCATATGTTCCTATGGTTTTTGGTATTATAGAAAGATTTTCACTATCTTTTTCAAAGTATCAACTATTACATATATAAACTCAGTATCTGATGAGACATGAGAACTGGCCACACAGACATGTGAAAAATATCAGTTCCACCAAACGTCATTATTAGACAGTCTTTAGTGACTCTGACACTGAAGTCGTGAATTGCTAATAACTAGGGTTTTTCCGTATGGAAATCCACATAATCCTCTTTAAGTAATTAATCACTGTCAATGCTTATACTTAAACTTGTATGAAAAAATGATACTCAGATTGGTTCTGTATGATAAATGCATATGAAAACAATAAAATTCTAATTCCGATTGGCACATGTACCTATTTCTTTATTTGTATCATTTACGTGTATATGTGGAATCTGTTTTATGTTGTCATCTTTTCCTTGCATGAAGGGATGAGTGTTTATGATACTGAAGTATGTGAGGCTGTAAATGGCATTTACATTCAATAACTACATCGATGCTGCTTCTGCATTTAATCGCTGGCTGGAGATATTTATTGCTTGGTGTACTATTCTCCCATAAACAGCACTACCTCAATAGGACACTCTCTTACTACTGATTATTTTCCCCTTTCCGTGGAAATGAAAAAAAAAAAACACAACCATTTTATAAAAATAAAACATTCCCACCTTGACCGAATAAAAAAGAAACTCAAACACTGAATGTGACAATACTAAAACAAAACAAAACAAACCTGGTCAATAAAAACTTTAATCAAATGCTTTTCATCTTGATAGCTTCTCTTCAGTTCTCAAATATAAAATATGTGAAGGATTTGTCATATCCTCAAAACAGTAAGACAATTAGCTGATTTTAGTATTTTTTGTAAGAATTTTTAAAAATGTAAGTAAAAATATTTTCCATTGTATTAATAATCCAAAAAATACAGGAAATCACAAGCTTATAGTTGTATGTATGTTTCAAGTGAGAATTTTTATATCTCTATTTTGAAACAGGCTGCATTTCCCATAGGAAGAATGTGGATTTTAATTAGGAATCTGGCTCTGCATTCACATTTCTACTTAGCTTCAACTGTTCAGTTTAGATTGACCACTTTACAGTCAAAATTACTAGACCTCAGGTAATATTTAATTACCTTTGAAGCATCACTGGATTATATGAGTTGGTGGTCATCATTCAATTTCATTAATAGCATCAACAGTGATATTTTCTAAGAAGAAAAGCCAAATCCTCTGTTTCCCACATATAGCATACATGAGATGTGAAAAAATATACAACAAATGTTTACTTTGAATTTACTACACTAAAGACGCATTGTCATTGTAATACTCAGAATACCCCCCCTCAGTTGAAACACACCTCATCACTCTTGCCGCTTTCTGAAGCAGCTCGGGAAGTGTTCTTTCCTGAGTGTCTTTAGTTGCACTGTTGTGGCTGCCTCACTGTCCGCTTGATCCAAAATGTTTATTTTTCATGGTCATTTGGACTTTGGGAAAGAGCCCGAAGTCATGCAGTGCCAATAGGGTGAATAAGATAGAAGATGAATGCTTGCATTTGCCAGAAACTGCCATAAACAGTAGATCAATAAAGGTAAACAATACAGCGAATGCTCAAAAATGTATTACAGTGAAAGATGCATTGCCAGTAACCTACATCACCCAGAATATGCCTCCTGGCTTCAAACACACTTTTCCCCTTGCTTATGGCAATGCATCTTCCACTGTAATGTTTCTTTGGTAAACATTTACTGTATTTTCTGATCACACCTTGAGTATGCAAATGTATGACAGAAACTGAAAGAGCTCACCACCTTAGGTGTGAACTAGAACTGTACCTGTGTGTCTTTATCCATCTACTCACATATTTATTCTCTCAGCTGTCTTTCTGTATTAATCACTTATTCATTTTTATTAAGTTACTCAGAGGCAAACATTCTATTAAGAATCATGTGCATCATAAATTTACACATATTTCTACTTGCCACCAGAAATTGGATTAAATATGTGTGTTGGTATGTTGTTTATGTTTATGAGACAGCAACATATTTTCTAATCTTAGGATACATGATGCCCTTTATCATTAAAAAATAAAATTTTAAAACTTGAAGCACACCCAGAATTCCAAGTCAAGAATCCTGCAGACTGCATTCCTGGTGGGAACGGGAAATGGGCAGGTGCATTGGAAAGGCTGGACACACCTGCCGCCTGACTCAGCAATTCTACTCCTGCTCACTCATGACCCGAAAACACGGCTTCACACAAAAATGTGGCCGAGACGTTATAGCGGCAACATTCGCAATAAGACAAATGGCAACTGTCCAGCAACTGACCAATGGGTAACACAGTGTGATGTGTCCATTTAATGGAATATTATCCAACATTGCAGACGAAGCACTGACATGGGCTACAACACAGATGAGCCATGAAAACATGCCAAGTAGAGTAGGAATGCTCAGGAAACACCACCGATTTTGTGATTTTACTTATATGAAATGCACAGTGAGGCAAATCCATAGAGACAGAAAAAACCATGTTTACTGGGGTGGAGAATTATAGGAAATACAGGGTTACTGCTAATATATATGGGGTTTGGGGGGGAGTGATGATATGCTTAGATTGATTGTGTTTTTAGTTGCACAAATTTAAAAATGTACTAAAATGTGTGGAAAGCCTGGTGCAATTAATAGTTTGCAGGTCTTGTAGATAGTATGCCTTTAGTCCATTAGCTGGGCTGTAATGGGCACTTGATAAGCATATTATGAAAGAAAAAGGACAATGAGTAAAAAACTCATTACAAGCAAGGAAAAGTAATCAAAATTTGGTATTGTGTCTGTTAAAAGCAAATCCAATGTAACTGAAATGTTTTCTAATTATCCTCCACGGAGCCAGGATGGATTACTGGGAGGGCTAAGCTGAAAAGACAGGGGCTTGTCCCCCTTCTAAGCAGTTTCAAAGGATGTGTCAGCCCAGGAGGTGAGACAGGCTGGGCTGGGGCGCTGGACAGAGTCTGCATCTGCAGCACCGTGGTGCCTGAGCCTGGTGTCCAGCCCAAATGTGCAGCAGAAGCATTTGGGCCACTGGGGAGGCACCGGTCGCTGGGCCCCAGTCTCTGGGCTGTTGGTTTGAGAGGAACCCAGTAATGCAGGCGTGCAGCACGTCTGTAGGTGATGGAGCCTCCTGGTCAGGGTCTGCAGTGCAGGAACCGTGTGTACAGATGTGTGTTCCTCATAAAAGGTGTGTTCACGATAGGAGCTGCCAGGCAGTGAATGAGGAGAAAGCAAAGACATAAAAGAAAGCCAGGTTGGGTACAGACACACAGGCCGACAAACCAACTCCATGGTGCTTCCAGCCCTGGGCCTTGGGCCCAGCCTTCGTGCACCGTGGGAAGGAGGCACCAGCAGGCGAGCGGTGTCAGCAGCTGCTGCAGATGCCACAGCTCCTGCGTCCAATGGCCCTGTCAGAGGTGCTGCTCCGCTTCCGGTGTCCGGGTCATGGAAACGCATGTGACGGCAGCTCCAGCAACGTGGGAGACCCTGACTGGAGTCTGCTGTTCAGTGTGAGAGCTGAGGTGTCCAAGGCCTCATGCTCCCGACATTGTGCCAGCCCCAGCGCCATCTCCGCCCTGCCCTGTTAAAACTCCGGGGTAAAACTGATTGCGTGACACCAGTCAAGACCGTGCACACGGCTCTCCAGCCAGAAGCGCCTCGCCCGTAGACACACGCGCGTCCATCTGCGGTTTATCACCTGGACGAATAGCACCTTGGAAGGAAATTTCCAGACTCCATGGGAAGTTTTTCTGAATTGCTAAGAAACTCAGTATGGAATTGACTCAATGCAAATATTTCAGCCTGAAATTGAATGAGACATACGATTTAATTTACCATGAAAATAAATTAGCAAGAATAATAACCAACAGGAAAATGTTAATAAGAGTAAAAATGCTTCTCAAATCTACTTTATATGATGTGGATGGAAAATTTCATTGATCTTCACTATTCCTGATAAGACTGTTTCATATGGGTCATACAATCCTGTCTGAAAAAAGTTCAAAAAAATAAACAAATTTCTTTATTTGGTTTAAGATAGGATCTGATTTTGGTACTTTAAGCAGAAAAGTAATCTGGTACTCCAAACATGATGTAATTGAAGAAAGAAAAATATTCAATAGAGAAAGTATAGAACGATGATTCAAACCTCCCTAAATTCCCCGAGTGTTCCAAGATCATCTGTAGAAAGATGCTTATGTTCTATATTTCTAGAATGTCAATATGAATATTAATAAACAGAAGCACTAATGCAGAGACTAACACTGGTGAAGACATGGATTGTGGACTACTATAAGATTCAGGAGTGTAAATTCAAACCTTGTAACCACATGACTTTTGAAGTAGATAATATTTTACTTCATAAGAAATAATATATTTAATTGTAAATATTAGATAATTCATTATTGCATTCAGAATCAAACTCGTAAATGTTAGGTAACTCACTATGACATTCAAATCACTATTAAACCATTAGTAACATTATTGAACTACCTTAATACTATTAAATAAATCAAGCTCCTGAAAAGATATGGCTGCTTTAGCAATAATTCACAAAACTAAATGGTTGGTTCTTATCATGATATGCTCAATATTTTCAAGTATTATCATCCACAGAATTGGATTCTATTTATACTACTTTAATGTAAAGCAACAGTATTGTTGCAGATAGCTAGATGTAAGCACAGTTTCCCTTCAATGCAAAAACAATTCCACCCTTAGAGTTGATTTATCATGATTGAATTCCCACATCATAATATAATTAAGACCCTTAGTCTTAATAATAAATATTGATTGAAGATTGCTAAATTATATCAGACAATGTATTTTATGGAGTTCTTACTTTTGAAAGGACATTCAACAAAATAGGCATTTCTGGACCCAAATAGATGCAAATGTTAGCCTGGTTAAAATAGTCTCAGAAGCTCTCATGCTAATATTTTCATAAGTTTTTGTATTTTAATAGAGGAGAGATGGATCTCTTCTAAATTTTTTTAGTGCATAAGATCATGAACCTTTTCTGAGTATGTTCATAATTCTGTGCTAGGTTACACTGACGTCTGTGACAAACCTCTGAATATCAATGAAGAAGAGAAGGAAACACATTTCCTTGCTCACTAGCCCAGGCCTGCTTGTTGCCAGCAGGTTTCTCTCTGTGAGAATGGAAGGACCCAGCCTTGCATTCTGGTGACTCCTTGGTCTCCTCCAGCCTGGATTGTTTTGCTTCCAGCTGACGGGAGCAAGGAGGCTGGACACGGAATGTCCACCTCCTAGTGGCCAGAACCCGGTACTCCTCTGTCA